GGCCTAGACCCTTCTTCAGAAAAGGGTCTAGGCCCGAAACGTCAGCCTTCCTGCTCCTCTGATGCTGCTTGGTCTGCTGTGTTCATCCAGCTCTACACCTTGTTATCTCAGATTCTCCAGCATCTGCAGTTCCTACTACGTCGAGGGATATAGGTTCAAAGCTCCTCGAAAGTGGAGTCACAGGTAGTCAGGGTGGTGAAAAAGGCTTTTGGCACGCTTGCTTTCATCAGTCAGAGCACTGGGTATAGGAGTTGGGACATCTTGTTGCAACTGTACATGATGTTGGTAAGGCCATGTTTGGAGTACTGTACGCAGTTCTGGTCGCCCTATTACTGAAAGAATATTATTAAACTAAAAAGAGTGCAGTAAAGATTTACTAGGATTCTACCCAGTACTGGAAGGTTTGAATTATGAGGAGAGGCTGGATTGGCTGGGACTGTTTTCCCTGGAGTGTGGGACACTGAGCGATATAGAGGAATAGGATTATAGAGGTATATAAAATCATGAGAGGTATAGATAAAGTAGGTAGCCAAGAGCTTTTCCCTCTAGTAGGGGAGTCGAAACCTGGAGAGCATAGGTTTAAGGTGAGAGATACAAAAGGGTCCAGAGGAGCAATTTTTTCACACAGAGGGTGGTGAGCATCTGGAACGGGCTGCCAGAGGTAGTGGTGGAGGTGAGTACAATTTTGTCATTTAAGAAACAGTTGGACAGGTAGATGGATGGGGTAGGTGCGGAGGGATATGGACCAAATGCAGGCAAATGGAACTAGATTCATTGTGAAAACTGGGAAGCATGGGGACAAGTTGGGCTGAAGGGCCTGTTTCCATACATAAACCTCTACGACTCTACATTACTTTTATGTTTCTCCAAAGACATCTGCTGTGGGACAAGTCTGTGAACACTCTGACAGTTGTTTAATTAAAGAGTTTTATGGATGCTTGGCTACAATCCAACTGCTAGTCATTTTGCAAGTGCTTGACTATCATTACACAGCTGGTGTGAAGAATGTGTTTATCGAGGTTTATGGACCATTCAACAACTTCTGACTTATACTAGGATTTATAAATTCTGTTCATAAAGTGTGAGCATGGTAAGGGTGAGGAGCTGGGACAGTTGTGGGGAACTATAAATATATAAAGATTGTCAGCACTTTGCAGAACAGTTCAACCTTTGCCCACTTAACTTGTTTGCTCCAGGATTAGGGTTGCCAGAAAGTCCTATTTTTCAGCAGTCTGGACAAAGAGGTTAAGGTTGTATTGGGAAGATTGGTCCCACTTCCCACGACTAAAATCTGGCCCAGGAGTGGGACAGGTAATGTTTTTTTCACTAACTAGTAAATGGATGTGATTATTGTACCTAACTGTATTCAACCACAATGCAGAAGTTGAAATGGCATAATACTAAGAATGGTCTCCATCACTTATGTGACAGACTGAAGCAACATTATTAATTTTACTACCAAAGCCAATGATAAAGATCTTCCTTTATACCAGCCTGATACTTGTGATAGCTCATATGTTAAAGTTTAATTTTCTCTGCACGCACAGTAATCTTAATGATCCACTTGAAAGCTCTCTCCAATCTTTCTTATAAAACCTTTCCCTTAAGTTAAAAACTCATAGGATGTCAGATAGCATAATTAAAGAATTCAGGCTAAAAGTAAAATTTATTGAGATCAGTATGAGAAATTTTCCCTCATTAAACTTAAATTATAGTCAGGTGAAACCTTATTTAGAAATGCTTTTACCAACAGCTGGAGGGGCACATGTGGTGTGGTGATAGTGTCCCTACCACTGAGTCAGGCTGCCTGAGTTCAAGTCCTACATGCTCCAGAGGTGAGTGATAACATCTCTAAACAGGCTGATTAGAAAATATCTAGCAACAGCAGGAGAAAGCTGTCTGCTTCTAGTCACTGTTTGCAAATAAGTTGCATCGCTAACAAGTATAAAACACTAATTTGGCCTCAGCTGGAGTACTGTGTCTAGTTTGAGTGTTTTGGAAAATGTTAAAGCATTGGAAAGAGTCCAAAAGAAATTGGTTGCAGGGCTGAGGATTTTCAGTTTTGGAGAAGTTAGAAGTGTTTTCCTCAAAGAAGAAAAGGCTGAGAGGAAACCTGATTCAAGTATTCAAAATCATAATCCCTCTGATCGGAGTAATTAGGGAGAAAATGGTCACATTTATAAAGGATTGAGAACAAGAGGGCACAGATTTAAAGTAAATAGTAAAATAGGCAAAAGTAAAATGAGGAAAAACTTTTTCACAAAACAGTTAAGGTCTGGAATGCAAGAGCTGAGAGTGCGGTAGAAGAAGGAGTTCCTCAGGTTTCCCATGTCCACCATCTTCAGCTGCTTCATTAATTAACTTATTTTCATCATAATGTCAGAAGCAGGGATATTTGGTGATAATTCCACAATGTTCAGCATCATTAGTTACCCCTTCATATCAAAGCAATTCTTATCTAAATGCAGCAAGATGTGGACAATATCCACATTTGAGTTGACAATTTGGCAGGTAACATTCACACCATGCATGTGCCAGCCAAACTTTAATCCCCACAACCATCGTCCCTTGATATTCAAAGTTACTACTATCGATGAATTCCACCATCAACAGCCTACTGGCTACCACCGGTCAGAAATTGAATTGGACCAGTCATATGAATACAGTGTCTGCAAGAGCCGGTCATAGGCATGGAATCCGACATTAAATAACTCATTTCCTGACTATCCAAAGCCTGTCAACAAGGCACAAGTCAAGAGTATGATGGACTACTCCTCACTTGTCTGGATGAGTACAGCTCCAACAACACTCAAGATGCGCGACACCATCAAGGACAAAGCAGCTCACTTGTTTGGATTATGGATCGTTTGGATTTTAATAAGGCCTTTGACAAGGTGCCGCACAGGAAGCTGCTAAATAAGATAAGAGCCCATGGTGTTAGAGGCAAGGTGCTAGCATGGATAGAGGATGAGCAAAGAGTGGGGATAAAGGAACCTTTTTCAGGATGGCAGCTGGTGATGAGTGGAGCTCCACAAGGGTCTATGCTGGGCCTACAACTATTCACGTCATGTATTAGCGATCTGGGCGAAAGAACTGAGGGCATTGTTGCTAAGTTTGGAGTTGACACAAAGGTAGTTGGAGGGATAGGAAGTGTTAAGGAAGTGGAAAGGCAGCAGGAGGAATTGGACAAGCTAGGAGAGTGGGCAAACAAGTGGCAGATGGAATGCAGTGTGGGAAATCGTGAGTTTAAGCACTTTGATAGGAAGAATAGAGCTGTAGACTATTGTCTAAATGGAAAAAGCTTTGGAAATCTGAAGCACAAAGGGACTTAGGAGTCCTAGTTCAGGATCCTCTTAAAGTTAACATGCAGGCTCAGTTGGCAGTTAGAAAGGCAAATGTAATGTAAGCATTCATATCAAGAGCTTGAACATAAGAGCAGAAATGTACTGCTGAGGCTGTATATGGCTCTGGTCAGACTATATTCGGAATATTGTGGGCAGTTTTGGGCCCTGTATCTAAGGAACGGTATGGTGGTTTTAAGAAGAGGTTTACAAGAATGATCCTGGGGATGAAGGATTTGACATATAACCAGCGGTTCAGGACTCTGGGTTTGTAATTCACGGAGTTTAGAAGGATAAGGAGGATCTCATTGAAATTTGCAGAATACTGAGAGGCCTGGATAGAATGGACATGGAGAAGATGTTTCCATTTGCTGGAGAGACTAGAACCCGAAGGCACAGCCTCAGAGGGAAGGGATGAGCCTTTAGAACTGAGATGAGGAGGAGGTTCTTCAGCCAAGAGGTGGTTAACCTGTGGAGCTCATTACTGCAGAAGGTTAAGCAGGCCAAGATCATTGACCATATTGAAGACACAGATAGGTTCTTGATTGGTAAGGGGATCAAGGATTACTGAAGGCAGGAGAATGGAGTTGAGTAACTTAAAAGCCATGATCGAACGGGGGAGCAGACCTGAAGGGCCAAATGGCTTAATTCACCCGCTATGTTTTACAGTCTTCTGTAAATGGCATCCCTATAGAAATGAACTTTAAGAGTTCTTCTGTGAGTAAGGCATTCATTCTGGGGATATGATATTGTTCACTCAGGGAATTATAAGAGCATAAAACCATAAGAAAAAGTGACAGGTATAGGTCTTCGACCCCTCTCCACCATTCAGAAGGATCACTGCTGATCTGATATTCCTCACGTCCACTTTTCTGCATTTTCCCCATAACCCTTGATTCCCCTACTGATCAAGAATCTTACATCTCAGTCTTAAATATACACAAGGTCTCTGCCCCCACAGCTCTCTGTGGCAAGGAGTTGTAAACTATCACAATCCTCTGGGAGAAGAAATTCCTCCTTATTTCAGTCCTAAATTAGCACCCCTTTATTCTGAGACAATGCCCTCTGGTCCTAGACTCTGCCATGAGGGGAAATGTCCTCTCAGCATTTACCTGTCAAGGTCCTTGAGAATTCTATATAAGAACATAAGAACTAGGAGCACGAGTAGGCCATCCGGCCCCTCGAGCCTGCCCCGACATTCAATAAGATCATGGCTGATCTTTTTGAGACTCAGCTCCATTTACCCGCCCGCACACCATAACCCTTAGTTCCTTTACTGTTCAAAAATTTATCTAACCTTGCCTTAAACACATTCAGCGAGGTAGCTTCAACCGCTTCACTGGGCAGGGAATTCTACAGATTCACAATCCTTTGGGTGAAGAAGTTCCTCCTGACCTCAGTTCTACATCTGCTTCCCTTTATTTTGAGGCGATGCCCTCTAGTCCTAGTTTCACCTGCTAGTGGAAACAACCTCCCTGCCTCCACCTTATCTATTCCCTTCGTAACTTCATATGTTTCTATAAGATCTCCCCTCATTCTTCTGAATTCCAATGAGTATAATCCCAGCCTACTCAGTCTCTCCTCATAATCCAACCCTCTCAACTCTGGAATCAACCGAGTGAATCTCCTCTGCACCTCCTCCAGTGCCAGTATATCCCTTCTCAAGTAAGGAGACCAAAACTGCACACAGTACTCCAGGTGTGGCCTCATCAGGACCCTATACAGCTGCAGCATAGCCTCCCTGTTTTTAAACTCCATCCCTCTAGCAATGACAGACAAAATTCCATTTGCCTTTTTAATTACCTGCTGCACCTGCAATCCTACTTTTCGCAATTCATGCACAAGGACACCTAAGTCTCTCTGCACAGCAGCGTGCTGCAATTTTTTACCATTTAAAACATAGTCCATTTTGCTGTTATGCCGACCAAAATGAATGACTTCACACTTATCAACATTGTACTCCATCTGCCAGACCTTTGCCCACTCACTTAGACTATCTATATCCCTCTGCAGACTTTCAGTGTCTTCTGCACACTTTGCTCTACCACTCATGTTAGTGTCTTCTACAAATTTTGACACACCACACTTAATCCCCAATTCCAAATCATCAATGTAAATCGTAAACAATTGTGGTCCTAACACTGATCCCTGAGGCACACCACTAGCCACTAACCGCCAACCAGAAAAACACCCATTTACCCTTACTCTTTGTTTTCTACTAGTCAACCAATCCTCTATCCATGCCAATACATTACCTGTAATATCGTGCAACTTTATCTAATGCAGCTTGGCACCTTGTCACACGCCTTCTGGAAATCCAGACACACCACATCCACAGGTTCCCCATTGTCCACCATGCAAGTAATGTCCTCAAAGAATTCCACCAAATTAGTTAAACATGACCTACCCTTCATCAACCCGTGCTGGGTGTTCCCAACGGGAGAATTTAAATCCAGATGTCTTGCTATTTCTTCCTTAATGATAGATTCAAGCATTTTCCCCACTACCGAAGTTAAGCTAACTGGCCTATAGTTACCTGCTTTTTGTCTACTTCCTTTTTTAAACAGTGGCGTCACATTGGCTATTTTCCAATCTGCGGGAACCACCCCAGAGTCCAGTGAATTTTGGTACATAATTACTAGTGCATTTGCTATTTCCCCCATCACCTCTTTTAGTACCCTGGGATGCATTTCATCATGGCCAGGAGACTTGTCTACCTTTAGCCTCATTAGCTTGCCCAGCACTGCCTCCTTAGTGATAATGATAGTTTCTAGGTCCTCACCTGCTATAACCTTCTTGCCATCAGTTTTCGGCATGTTATTTGTGTCTTCCACTGTGATGACCGACACAAAATAACTGTTTAATGTTTCAAGTTGAACCTGGACATGGATTTTGTTATCTGGAGCTATGGGTAGTGATGATAGAGGCTCTAATATCTTTTCCATCATGTGGTTGACTAAAAATCTCCAACACTTTTACTTCTTGCCATTCTATGCATTGGAAGGATATACAGGCTGATGTTTGGCTGCACTATGACTACACCTTCCTTGGCCAGCAATTGCCAAGGTTGGGCTTGAAGCTCAAACTTCAAGCTTAGTACCAGTAATGTTACCCACTGTGCCTCAAGACGTCCTCTTCAAGATATACACTCATGTGCCCAATTATTTTCTTCATTGATCTATTAACCAACCTTTCACAGTTATGAAAGCTGTAGTTTGCTGATCCTCAAATGAACAAGAATAATCTCCTCCATCTTCTGATTTCATGTCATGAATCTGTAAAATTTGTACAGGACCATCCTGTTTCATTTCATACTTCTCATTTGGAGAGATCAACAATGTTCCTTTCCTCCAGGTAACCGGCACATTAGGTTTTGATAGTTCACAGCACAAGGTGCCTGTGTCACACTCCTTCACTTCTATGTTCTGCAGTTCTTTTTGCAAGGTTATAGGTGCAGCTGAAATAAAGCCAAATAAACTTATTTGATCAGACATTTTTCAAAATTTCAATCTTTCATTTACAAGGAATAAGAAACAGGACAGAAGAAAACCACTGTCTCTTTCAAATGATCATGTCACAAATACAAACTTATGTCATACAAAATCCATTATCACCATGGGACAGCCAGCAATCAATCTGTATGCACTTCCAGGACTGAATTAATTGAGTCTATGTTTTCAGACAAACTGGATGGCCACCTGAAACAGCAATTAATCATTTTCCATATGTTATTGAAGAGTCTAGCAGCTGTTCTAGGACCACTTTAGTAAATTTGTTAGCGATAAGTTGGGCTGACAAAAGGGGATTCTTCATTTGCCAATACAGCGTAAGTTGAGATATCAATCAAAAGTAACACTGTTTCAAATGCAAGATTTCATAAGGCACAAAACGTTTTAAACTGTCTTGTTTATTTTAAGGTAAAACAGGATATCCTAGAATGGTGGACTGTGATCATGGTAATTCGACCAGGAGACAGCCCAATTTGGTCTGTAACTGAAATCTACTGACACACAAGTTAATACAAAACAGGTGCAGCTATTTTGGTAAAGATACAGACACAGAAAGGAATATAAAGAAAACCACAAAAGGAACACAGAAAAAGCTACTGCTGTGAAAATCAGATAAAATGACATTTTGTGTTGGCCAAGAAACAGGATGCTGGTAAGAAATAATACTCTGTATGAAGAGATTCTGTTCAAAGAGATGGGTCTGATGAAGTTTTAAGAAGGAGGAATTAAGAGTGGTCTTGATGCCAGAAGACACTTAAACTTTGGGAATACTTAACAAACTGTGTGGAATGGCTTTCAAAGGACTCTGCAGACTCACCCTGAAGTGGCAGAGTGAAGGGAGTCTGCAAAAAAAGCTGGGAGAACTTTGGAATTTAATCTTCAAGGCTACATATTTCCTGGGAGCATGGTGTAAAAGCATCTTTTCTGTAGTTTAATGTATTAGTTGACTGTAATGTAATGTTTAGCCTATGATCTTAATGCTTTTGTTACAGTAAGACGTCTCATCGAAACATAGAAAATAGGAGTACGAGTACATTTTTAGCCCTTCGAGTCTGCTCTGCCATTCAATATGTTCATGCCTGATCATCCAACTCAGTATCCTGTTCCTGCTTTCTCTCCATACCCTTTAATCCATTTAGCCCTTCAAATATTGATAACTCCTTCTTAAAAACATTCAATATTTTGGCCTCGACTGTACTTTCTGGCAGAGAATTCCCCGGACTCACCATTCTGAGTGAAGGAGTTTCTCCTCATCTTATTCTTATGGCCTACCCTTTATCTTTAGACTTTGACCCCGGTTCTGAACTCCCCAGTCATTGGGAACATTGTACCTTTACTCTGTCTAGTCCATAAGTTTCAATGAGACCTCCCCCATTCTCCTAATTTCTAGTGAACAGAGTGTCAATCAATCCAGTTTCTCTTCATATGTCGGTCCTGCCATCCTAGGAATAAGTCTGGTAAATCTTCGTTGACATTCCTCCATAGGCAGAATGTTCTTCTTCACATAAGGAGACCACAACTGCACACAATACTTCAGGTATGGTCTCACTAACACCCTGTACAATTGCTGCGAGACATCCCTACTCCTGTGCTCAAATTCTCTCGTTATGAAGGCTAACATATCATTTGCTGTTTTCCCTATATGCAGAAGCATCTCTCCATTCTCTCACCCTCTCAACCAACTTCATGTCATCTGCAAACTTGGCAGTATTACATTTAGTTCCCCCATGTAATGTCAATCATTAACATACAATATTCTGAATACTTGGGGTTTAAGCACTGATTCCAACATTACCCCACCAATTATTGCCTGCAACTCAAAAAAGACCTCTTTATTTCTCCTTTTTGTTTCCTGTTAGCCAATGAGTTCTCTATCCATGTTAGTACACTATTCCTATTCCCATGCACATTATTTTTACATGCTAATCTCATCTGTAGAACCTTATGAAAAGCTTTCTGAAAGTCTAAGTAATTCATATTCAATGGCTCCCTCTTATCAATTCTCCCAGTTACATCCTCACAAAATTCTATTAGATTTGTTAAGTATGATTTCCCTTTGAAACATCCATGGTATCTCGGCCAAATCTTGTCACTGTTTTCTAAACACTCTACCATTAAATCTTTTAAAATGGACATTTTCCTTTTTCCTACAACCCATGTCAGGCGAGCTGGTGGATAATTCTATGTTTTCTCTCTACTTCCTTTATTAAATACTGGGGTTACATTAGCTACTCTCCAAACCATTGGATCTGATCCAGTGACTATATAGAACCTTGAAATATGACCACCAACGCATCCAATATTTCTAGCATCATTTCCTCAAATACTGCATTTGCCTACTAATACTGATTTCCTTCAACTACCCCATATTCCCCAACATTTTTAAGGCGTTCTTTGTATCCTATTTTGTGAAGTAGAACCAAAATATGTACATAATTGGTCTGCCATTTCTTTGATCCCCATTATAACTTCCCCTGTTTCTGATTATAAGGGACTTAGATTAGTCTTCACCAGTCTTTTTCTTTCACATTTCTATAGAAGTTTTTACAATAAGTTGTACGTTCCCTGCAAGCTTCTCTCATAATCTATTTTGCCTTTCTTAATCAATCCCTTTGTCCTCCTTTGCTGAAATCTAAACTGCTCCTAATCCTAGGGTCTGCTGCCTTTTTTGGCCAATTTGTATGGTCCTTCCTTGGATCTAATACCCTTAACTTCTTTTGTTAGCCATGATCAGGCCACCTTTCCTATTTTATTTTTGTATCAGACAGGAATGAACAATCGTTGGACAGGAGCAAATATATCTTTTCACATTTAACTGAAATTTTATTAGGTGAGCACTTCTCTAGAATAGCTGATTCTGGTTCCTACTGAGTACAAAACTACATTTGCCAATGAAACTTTATGTTAAAAAATATCTTCATCTTCAAATACAATCACATTCTTTATCCTTCTACAATGGAGATGTCTGGCTTTCATAATGCAAGTGAGATGTCAGGAGATTTTTATATTTCATTTCTGAGAATCATCTTATCAAGTTGTCATCTTAGCCAGATTGTTCATATCAAATTCATTCTTGTGCTATTTTAATGCATTCTTTGATCAGTTTCTTTTAAAACTTGATAAAATGCTTAAAACTGAGAAAAGCAAATTGACAGAAATTTCTGACAACAAATTTCATCAAACTACATCAGCTCAAGAGGCAGGTAGAAGTTCTTTATGATTTATAATGCAAGTCTGTCTAGTGCAGCACAATGTAAAATGGTATGACATGAAATAAAATTACACTATTTGAATAAGACAGAAGAACAATAATTTTTAACATAGCAGTCTAGCAGTCCCAGATCACACTCACGTGATTTTGCCACAACAACAATCATGACATACATGAAATAATCAAAAGCAGATAAACTAAAATTGCTCAAGGACGAAAACAGAGTGAAAAGAACTAAACTTTTGAAGAATTAAGGCAAAAATAACACCAAAGAAGTAACAAGGATCATAATTTATAATAGATCTCTACTGAATGGTAACATTTCATACCATTAACTTTCAAGTAGCCATTAGTCTGCTGGTCCCCAGAATCACAGGTATATTCACCGGTATCTTCCACATTCACATTGTGAATTAATAATTGAACAAAGGCACTATCCTGTTTCAGTTCATATTTGTTGCTAGGACGTAGTGTTAGGGATCCCTTTCTCCATTCTACTGGAGCACCAGGCTTAGTAAGTTCGCAATGCAGTGTGACAACATCACCTTCTTCTGCTTCTTCATTTTGCAACTCTTGTCTGAACAGCACAGGTAAGGCTACATAATTTAGAAAAACATTCATAGAAAGTATCAAAATATGAATTTTAAACAGATTGGTTTACTTAAATTAAGAACTGCTGTGATTAACTGCTAAAATATTAAAAAAACCATAAGTCACTGGTTGTGGATTTTCATAAGGAACAGCTATCTGACATCTTTTATTGTATTGGGACTGTAACAAACCCTTAACGACTTAGCTTCAGAAAGATTGTTTTAATCACATTCTTGTGATACCACTTCAACACTGTTGACTTTCAAGTAATCTTGAATGTGTAGACGACAAATAGTAAACCACTACCACGTCCTTATCATTTGATCAACAATCTTTATTCCTGTATATTAAAATCATTCGCATCTTGTGAGATGAGTATGGTTTTGATTATCATCTATTCAATATTCCATCAGTACTCCCAATTTAATGCATTTATACAGATTATACCAGGCCCACTAAACTCCAGATGGCACAGACAGCCATATTCAACAACTCGAACCACTCACATCAAATAAAAATATACAATTATATGTTACCAATGTAATAGTAAACACATAATCTCCAAGAAGATAAAAATAGATTGGAGTTAAATAGTTTAAAAAAAAAGTTGTGAGGGACAAAGATAATTTATGCAATTATGTAAAGTGGCTGAACAATGATAGTAACTTCCAAAGATAGAGGATGAATTCCAATATGAATTCCTTCCATTTTACCTTTCACATTTAGAGAAGCAGTAGTTTGTCTATCGCCTGAATCACAAGTGTATTCACCAGCATCTTCTGATTCCACATCATGGATGAACAATTCTACAATGGGGCCCCAGTTCTTCATTTCATATTTTCCACATGGCAAGAGCACCACAGTTCCTTTTCGCCATTCTAATGTAGCATCAGGTTTAGTAAGTTCACAGTGAAATTTAGCTGTGCCACCTTCTTCTGCCTCCACATTCTGAAGCTCTTGCTTGAAAAGCGCTGGCAAGACTGAGAAATTAAATTGCAAATTTATCAGAATACTGATTTGTCTCTTACCCTTAAAAGTTATTTTCAATGGACACAAAATACATTCTGATTACACTTTGGCTGCCTTGGAAATATACTCTTCTATGCACAAGAACACTGGAACAGGAGTAGGACATTTAACCCCTTAAGTGTGTCATCTGTTCAATACTATCATGACTGAAACGCTCACCTCCATTCCGCTTCTGTTGCTTTGTATCCCTTAAAATTTTGGTTAACAAATATCTTTCAATGTCGTATTCAAAATTACCAACTGACTGAATATTAACTGTTGCTTGCATAAGACTATTCCATACTTCATTTACGTGTAAAAATTATTCATATTTTCTTTCTTGAATGTTCTGGCTGAAAACTTTAGATTATGCACTCAGTCCCAAGCTAGTAAAAAGACTTTCCCACTATTTACCCTGTCTGATCATCTTAGCATCTTGAAAACTTAAAACAAATTATCCAATGACCATCAAAAGTCCAGGGTATACAACCCAAATTTGCACCTCACAAGTTAAACTTTAGAGTTCTGGTAAATCTATGCCACACTCAATCCATCTAGAATGGAGATGTGCAGTTGAACATCTGTTTGATGTGGAAGGTTTTCTTAGGGCCTGGGATGGGGGTGAGGTGTAGGGGCAGGTGTAGCACTTGCTGCGGTTGCAGGGAAAAGTGCCGGGGGTTGTGGGGCTGGTGGGGAGTATGGAGCGGACAAGGGGGTCACGGAGAGAGTGGTCCCTCCGGAAAGCAGATAAGGGTGGGGAGGGAAAAATGTCTTTGGTAGTGGGGTCAGATTGCAGATGGCGGAAGTGTCGGAGGATGATACGTTAGATTCGGAGCTTGGTGGGGTGGTATGTGAGGATGAGGGGGATTCTGATTTGGTTGTTATTATGGGTAGGGGTTGTGAGGGATGAGTTGTGGAAAATGCGAGAGACACGGTCGAGGGCGTTTTCGACCACTGTGGAGGGGAAGTTGCGGTCCTTGAAAAACGAGGACATCTGGGATGTCCGGGAGTGGAATGCCTCATCTCGGGAGCAGATGCGGCGGAGACGAAGGAATTGGGAAAAGGGGATGGCCTTTTTGCAGGAAGGTGGGTGAGAGGAGGTGTATTCTAGGTAGCTGTGGGAGTCGGTAGGCTTGAAATGGATATCTGTTTCCAGGTGGATGCCAGAGATGGAGACAGAGAGGTCCAGGAAGGAGAGAAAGGTATCAGAGATGGTCCAGGTGAACTTAAGGTTGAGGTGGAAGGTGTTGGTGAAGTGGATGAACTGTTCGAGCTCCTTGTGGGAGCACGTGGCGGTGCCGACACAGCCATCGATGTAACTGAGGAAGAGGTGGGGGATAGGGCCAGTGTAGCTTTGGAAGAGGGATTGTTCCACGTATCCTACAAAGAGGCAGGCATAGCGTGGGCCCATGCGGGTACCCATGGCCATCCCCTTTGTCTGTAGGAAGTGGGAGGAATTGAAGGAGAAGTTGTTAAGGGTGAGGACGAGTTCAGCTAAGCGGATGAGGGTGTCAGTGGAGGGGGTTAAAATTATTTCAGAGATAGTAGGAACTGCAGATGCTGGAGAATCTGAGATAACAAGGCGTAGAGCTGGATGAACACAGCAGGCCAAGCAGCATCAGAGGAGCAGGAAAGCTGACATTTTGGGCCTAGACCTTTCTTCAGAAAATGAAGAAGGGTCTAGGCCCGAAACGTCAGCTTTCCTGCTCCTCTGACGCTGCTTGGCCTCCTGTGTTCATCCAGCTCTTCACCTTGTTATGTCAGTGGAAGGGGACTGGTAAGGCCTGCGGGACAGGAAGAAGCAGAGGGCCTTTAGGCCATCTGTATGGGGAATGCAAGTGTACAGGGACTGGACGTCCATGGTAACGATGAGGTGCTGGGCACCAGGGAATCGGAAGTTTTGGAGGAGGTGGAGGGCGTGGGTGGTGTCACGGACGTAGGTGGGGAGTTCCTGGACCAAGGGGGAGAAAATGGAGTCGAGATAAGTGGAGATGAGTTCGGTGGGGCAGGAGCAGGCGGAGACAATGGGTCAACCAGGGCAGTCAGGTTTGTGGATTTTGGGAAAGAGATAGAAACGGGCGGTGCGGGGTTGGGGAACGATGAGGTTAGAGGCTGCGGGTGGGAGGTCACCTGAAGTGATGAGGTTGTGGATGGTCTGGGAGATGATGGTTTGGTGGTTGAGGGTGGGATCATGATCAAGGGGGCGGTAGGAGGAGGTGTCAGAGAGTTGGCATCTGGCCTCGGCGATGTAGAGGTCAGTGCGCCATACTACAACTAACATACTTTTTCAAAGATGTGATGCCCAGAACTGCTCGCAGTTCTCTAGTTATTACCTGCACTTTATGTAGCTGTGGGATAATTTCTACACCTTGTGTAATTGTCCTCTAGTTGTTCAATAGGATTTTGATGCTCAACAAATGTGCGGAAATCAGGTTACCACATTCACGACAGGATACAAAATAAATGCAATAAATGAAACAAAGCTGCAATCTTTTGAAAATATATTTGATATTTTAAACTGTCAACAATCAACAGTAATACATTCACTAGCAGAGCCAAGTGAGCAGCTTCAAACGGATTTTGAAATCCATCTGTGCTGCAAAGTAAACCTGAGAAATTCACTCTCGAGTAATAACAAACTGACAGCTTAGTGTTTTCGACAGTGAGCTCCAATTTATTTTAAAAATAAAGTTCTTTTGGAGTAAACTAGCTATATTTTATGAAAATTGACATATTAGGAGATTCAGTAAGTGAAAAGTATGAACAAATCTCTACGTATTGGCCTCCGCGCTCTGACCTTTGCCTTGCTTTTGTTGTGTCATCTGCCACTTCTGAACACAGCATCCAAACATTTAAAAGCTTTTGGCTCACGGCCATTGTCCTGTAATATTTTCTTTTATCCCAACAACGCCTCTACCACCTCCTCTGGTCAGCGCATTCCAGTCACTTACCATACTCTATGTAAAAAAATTGCCTCTCACATTTCCTTTAAACTTATTCCCTTTTATCTTAACTCTACACACCCCCGTGATTGACATTTCTACCCTAGGACAAGGACTCGACTATCCATTCTATCTATTCGTTGCATAACTTTGTAAAGTTCTATTAGGTCACCCCTCAGCCTCCGACATTCAAGTGAAAACAAACCAGGTTTGTCCAATTTCTCCTCAGAACAAATACCCTCCAAATCCGGCAACATCCTGGAAAGCCATTTCTGTACCCTATGCAGAGGCTCCACATCCTTCTGGTAATGCAGCAACCAGAACTGTACATAGTATTCCAAATATGGCCTAACTGAAGTTTTAAAGAGCCGTAACCTGATTTGCCAATTTTTATGCTCTATGCCCTGACTGATGAAGGCAAGCATGCCATATGCTTTCTTGACCATCTTATACACTTGTGTTCCCACTTTCAGGGAACTATCAACCTGTACCTCTAGATCCCCCTATATGTTAATGCTATTAAGGATTCTGCCATTTACTGTATACTTCCCTCCTGTATCAGATCTCCCAATATGCATCACCTTGCAGTTGTCCAGATTAAACTTATTTAAGATCTCACCCATCTCCTGTGGTTCCAAACATAGACAGCCTTGTTGATCTTTCAGGAGCCCTATTCTCTCCCTAGTTACTCTTTTTCCCTCAATATACTTGTAGAATTTCTTTGGATTCTCCTTAATCTTATCTGCTAAAGCTATCTCATGTCCCCTTTTGCCCTCCTGATTTCCCTTTAAGTGTACTCCTATACACTTAATGCTCAAGCATTCACTTGATCCCAGCTGTCTATACCTGGCATTTGCCTCCTTCCTTTTCTTGACCAGAGCCTCAACATCTCTAGTCGTACAGTATTCCCTACTCCAGCCAGCCTTGCCCTTCACACTAGCAGGAGCATGCTGACCCTGAACTCTTGTTATCTGGCTTATGAAAGCCTCCCAGTTGCCAGACGTCTCTTTACTTGCGAACAGCTTCCCTGAATTAACTTTTGAAAGTTCTTGTCTAATGCCATCAAAATTGACCTAGCCCTAGTTTAGAACTTTAACTCGTGGACCAAGCCTATCCTTTTTCATAACTGTTTTAAAACTAATAAAATTATGGTCACTGATCCTCACTAACACCTCAGAGACGTGCCCCCCTCCCTTATTTCCCAAGAGGAAGTCAAGTTTTGCCGCTTCTCTTGTACGGCCATCTACATATTATTAAGAAAGTTTTCTTGAGTACACTTAACAAATTCCTACCCATCAAAGCTCTTAACACTATGACAGTTCCAGTCTACGTTTGGAAAGTTAAAATCCCCTGCCATTACAACCCTATTATTCTTACAGCTTTCTGCATTCTCCCTACATATTTGCTCGTCAATTCCCCACTGACTACTGGGGGCCTACAGTACAATCCCATCAAGGTGATCACCCCCTTATTATTTTTCAGTCCCACCCATATAGCTTCACTGGACAATTCTCTCAGGAATATGGGAGGAATGGTGGCTCAATGGTTAGCCTCACAGTACCAGGGATCCAGGTTCAATTCCAGCCTTGGGTGACTATCTGTGTGGAGTTTGCACATTCTCCCATGTCTGTGTGGGTTTCCTCTGGGTGCTCTGGTTTCCTCCCACAGTCCAAAGATGTGCAGGTAAGATGGCCTTGCTAAATTGCCCATAATGTCCAGGGATGTGCAGGCTAGGTGGTTTAGCCATGGGAAATACAGCGTTACAGGGATTGGGTAGGGAGCTGGGTCGGGGTTGGATGCTCTTTGGAGGGTCTGCGTGGACATAAAGGGCTGAATGGTCTCTTTCCACACTGTAGGGATTCAATATATCCTCTCCAAGCACTGCCTAGATATTTTCTCTAATCTAAAACACCATACCCCTCCCCTCTTGCCTCCCCTTCTTTCCTTCCTATAGCACCTCTACCCTAGAATATTGAGCAGTTAGTCCTGTTCCTTCCTCAGCCATGTTTCTGTAATAGCTATGATATCCC